AGTATTGGCAAGCCTGCTAACAACAGTAGACTAATAGATATCTGGTGTTTACTCAACCAACATTTTAAAAAACCGAAATTAAACAATGCTTTAGTTACTGTATTTTTAATTATCACTCTTCCACTCCCAAATATCGTTGCATTTCAGGTTGCTACACCTATTGCAGTGCTTTGGCGATACGGATCTGTTGTGTTCATTGCTTGACAAAACACCTCAGAAAACCCCGTATTTCAGAGCAGAGGTAAATTAAATTTCTAATTACAGTAGGTACTGGAACATTTACTTACTGTTCAATATTTGGTCATTTGGATTGTAAAATAAGCTGACGAAAATTTCTTTCTCCGCTTTCAGTAACCGCTGATAAATTTCTTGGGATATCTTATGTTCGATGTTACTCAAAAGCAAAACATATCAATTAAAAAAAAGGCGGCCATACAGCCAGCCAAAACTGGCTGGGAATTTTCTATCCTGCTCTGATATATCCATCTATTGTCAAGAAGTTACAATACCAGAAGCCTTTTTTTCCTTTGATTCTACTTGATAATTGAAGAACACCAGTAAAAGACAATTATCCCGCTACACTGATAGTTAAGTGACGGGGCAGTAGAAACTGAACAACTATCCGCTCTTACTCCCACCTTTGCCGTCATCCTCTCTTCTGTTGCTGCCCAAATTCCTCTTCAGTTACTGGACACCTGTTCAACTGGCAATTGTAGCAAATTAGCACTGATTATTTCATGGCAAAAATGAATTTTCTGACAAGGAACCAATATAGTCAGTTTTTTGTCAGCTTCTAAGCTGTTCTATACTGTCATTAGGGAACTGCCATATTAAAATATTTTTAATTGGCAACAAATCCCAACGCCTTCTTAGAACACCTAATGTTCGATGTTGCACAAAAATGAGAAAAAAAAAGTGGATATGCAGTCAAAAACGACTAGAAAGTTTCGATCCTGTTCTGATATATCCATCTACTTTTAAGAAGTTACATTTCACCTATTTTCTTCACCAAAAAATGTGTCGTATTGCCACAGATAGTTTAAGACCTCAGTTCTAAAAATTCAGAAGTACACTAATAAAAAAAAAAGTTTAAAAAGCCAATTCTGATTCCAAAATCAAATCACAGTGAATGACTAAAAGCTGCAGGTTTGCAAAAAAAAAAAAAAAAAAAAAA